CAGTACGGATTGTGATCGATTTGGTTACAGGATTGAAGCTGTCGAAATAATCTTTCACGTATTGTTGGAGGAATCCTTTAGCTACAAGATGGGCCTTGTATTTCGTTATGGTACCATCCAGACTCCGCTTGATGCAGAAGACCCATTTGCATCCGATCGGTCAATGGAAAGTAGATGGAACAAGCTCCCATGTAGAGTTTTGGATCAAGGCATTGTATTCATCATCCATTGCTTTATGCCATAACGGGTCTTTTGAGGCTTGAGTGTGGGTAGTAGGTTCCAAGGCAACGGGAATGGGATGAATAGTCGTGGTATTCATGAATTTGGAATTGAAGTATTTTGGGTTGGGTTTTCGATGGCGGAGTAGAAGAGTGGGTGAGGGAGTAGGTGATGGAGATGGTGACGTTGTGTACGGAGGTGTTGATTGTGCTGAAGAAATAAGAGAGGAAGGATGGGGAGATGGTTCAGAGAATGTGAGTGAGGTGGGTGTGGTAGTAGGTGGCACGAGTGGAGGTGGGAGGTAAGATGGTGGGGTGAAAGGGTTGGTAATAGTGGGTGCAAAAGGACTTGACGTGGGATTTTGATGCATGAGGAAATTGGGAAGAGTAGGTGCATGGGGAGTTGGTGAAGGTGGCGAAGTGTGACTAAAGAATTCATCCACAGTGGGAAGTGAAATGGATGGAGATTGAGAGTTTTTGTACGGAAAAAGGTTTTCAATAAACTCAATATGACGAGAATGATAGACACGACAGGTTTCAAGGTGAAGACATTTGTAAGCAAATTTGGCGGTAGAATACCCCAAGAAGAGGCAAGGAGTGGAATGAGGGTGTAGCTTAGAGGTAGAGTAGGGACGAAGCCATGGGTAGCAGAGACACCCACAAGGCTTGAGTTTTGTGTACTTGGGGGAGCGACTATACATTAGACCAAATGGACTTTTGGAGTTTAGGATTGGAGTTGGCAAACGATTAATGAGGTGAGTTGCCGTTTGAAATGCATGAGACCAAAAAGTGATAGGAAGACCCGTAAAGTGTAACAAGGGAAGACCCGTTTCAACAATATGTCGATGGCGTCATTCGGATATGCCATTATGTTCGGGTGTGTGGGGGTGTAGTGTAATGATAAATGCCCATGGATTGGAACAGGGGAATGAGAGCTTGATGCTCTCCACCATTGTCAGTGAACATGGAGATAATGGATGTGTTAAAGTATTTTTCCACCGAACATTTAAATTAGGGAAAAAATTTGGAGACATCGGAATTATAATTTATGGGATACAACCAAATATATTTTGAATAGTAATCCACAAACACTACATAATATACAAAAGCATCAATAGATTTTTGAACAGGTCCCCAAACATCAGAATAAATGAGTTGCAAAGGATTATTTGCAATAAATGAATTTTGGCCAAAGGGTAGCTTGTGGCTTTTATTAACAGAACATGAAGCACAATGAAAATTGAGTTTAGACAATGATTTGAAACTAAGACCTAAGTCTTTAACAAGATGCTTGAAACACAAGCAGATGGATGTCTAAGTGTGTGATGGTAATGGAGAGGTGATGCTTTAGTAGCAATGCTCATTTGTGGGAGTGAGATCTGTTTTGCATAGTAGACATCATTTATGTTCTCCCCCCGTATAAGAGGCGCCCCGTGCAACGATCCTTGACAAGAAAATGCAAAGGGAAAAATTCAACAAAGACTTGATTAGCACAACAAAGCTTAGCCACATAAATGAGGTGTTTACGGAGATTAGGAACACAAAGAACATTAGATAAATTTAAAGGACGAGTTGAGGTGGATAGGTTTGTGTGCCCCCTGTGAGAGATGGAAAGAGTTGTACCATCACCAAGGAGATTTCATCTGACCCACCATATTCCGAGACGGTGTGAAGGGAGGATCGGTCTGATGTTAGGTGGTGTGAATGTCCTATATCGAACAACCAAGGTGCAGTCATTGGGGTTGATTTTGAACTCAAAGCAGTAGCATTGGCAAACGGATTATTAGAGGTGTTGGTACATGGGATGTTGTGGTCTTTCAAAAACTGAGCAAGCTTCCTGCAATCACGGGTCTCGTGACCCGGAATAGCAAAAAAGTGACAGTATAAGGAGGAATGATTGTTCCTGTATTGAGTGTTGTTGTTCGAGCGATTGTTGCATGCTTGGTGTTCAGAACTGAAACGACCTGTATTGTGTGAACGGAACTGAGAATCAGACGATGACCGAGTATTGCACCGGCCTGTTTGGCACTGGGAGAAGTTAGCCATAGCAATAAGTGGTGCAACAGCGGATTTGGTTTCCTTTAAAAATCGTTCGAAGTCAACCAGTTTGTCAAAGAGTTCTGGAAAGAAGATCGGGTTTTTCTGAACTTTTATGGCAGCAGTGATTGGCTTGTATTCATCCCCAAGTTAACTTAGTATGTGACTAAGAAATCCTCTTCATCGACGGGTTCTGAGGGAGTGCTAATTCATCAACAATCAATCTCATATCATTGAGGAAATCTGTGATGGAACGATTTCCTTTAGAGTTCTTTGCAAGAATGGACTTGAGTGAAATAATTTTGGATCGAGATTGGCTTGCATAACTTGTATTTAGCCGATCCCATGCCTCCTTTGCAGTAGAGGCTGATGTGATGATCAGCTGAATGGCATCAGAGCAGCTTCCGAGTATAGCACTGAATATAATCTGATCTTGGCGGTACCAGATCATGTATGCGGGATTCAATTTTGTGACTTCTTTGTCGGTAAGAGTCTGTGATGGTGGTGTGCAGCGACCACTGATGAAACCGTCTAGGTCAAGCCTAATGAGAGTTGATTGGACTTGTTTGCGCCACACCGGGAAATTCGTGGCGATGAGTTTTATCGGAAATGACTAGTGGCTGTGAGTTGAACAATGGTGTTAGACAATGCCATGGAAGCAGCTGAATTAGGGTTACAAGTGAGAGGGAAGGATCAAGACTCGTTAAAGCAAGGTGTGCTCTGATACCATATGAAGGTATGAATTTTTATATATTGCATAAAGAGGTTTACAAGGATATATATATATATATATATATATATATATATAAGACATTTTACAACAGAAGGTGCACAAATTAAGGAGAAATACATGAAATGCATTTAGGCTATAAATAAAAGATATTGATTCCTATAATTATGCGTGGTCAACATATATCCTTGATATCCCTCTCCTGCTGCTTCATCATTCTTTTCTTTATTGTTCATTTGTTCATACAATTAATTAGATTAGGGTTGTTCATTTTATCCAATCAACAAATTAGATTAGGGCTATTAGTTTGGTGTTTTATTCAAGTAGCAAATTAAATTAGACGTTTATGAATGTTGTTCATTTTGTTTAAGCAGGCTAGATTAGCGCTCTTTGTTTGTAAAAGGTGTTTGATGAAATGGCTAAAAGAAATATAGGGGTAAAACAATCATTTCAAGCATCAAAACAGTTTGTTTAGCACAACAACCGAACAACTTACTTTAAATCAAACAGACAAATTTATCAATACAAATAACTTAATCCATGCAGTCTTAATGTAAACTGAACCGAACAACCCTAAGGTTATGTTTAGCAAAACTACTGATAAATTAATTGTTGGCTAATTAGGTAGGTATTGTTTGATAAGTTATCTGTTAGTTAAAAAGCTAGTTGATTGCTAATAAGTGAGTTGATAAACTAATCACATTTATTAAAACTAGTTGATATGATAAATGATAATGTATAATTGTTATTCCATATAAATGAATACACGCCAAATTTATCAATCAAATTAATGTCTTGAGTGTAACAATTATTTATTTTTCGATATAATAAAAAATATTTGCATTAAGTGATGTATTTCGATAGTCATTCGTCTAAAAGAAAATTGTAAATATATTTGTTGATTAACTTACAAATTGCAATTTCTTATTAAATCATGGATACTTATCATCATTGAAAATAGAAATTGACAAAACCAGATAACCCGTAAGGCCCGGTAGAGATTGTCATTTAGCAAACATTGATTGTTTGATGGTATGACTCATATCACTTCCTATGTGACAAAAAGAATGATGTGGCATATAATCACCGGTTAACTGTTAATTTAAACATGTTTATCAGAAATCCTTTTGATCGAAGGAATTAAAAACCAAATTTCCCTATTCAATTTAGGTTTTATTATTTGAGAGGCACAAGTAACCAAAAACTAAAACAATAATTGTGAAACATATTAATCTTTAGAATGAATCAACTCATCTTTAATACACCCTTCATATTTGATTCAACTAGTATCAAACTAATAATTATAAATCAAAGACCAAAAACCCATATAATACATAAAGATGCTCAAAAACCCGATCAATCCAACACAAAATAACTTAATTCAAAACAACCCGATGTTTAATCGAGTTATAAAATTGTCAAACCGTACGTATTTGGTTGATATCGGGTTACTATTATTTGAACTCAACTTTACCCGATGAACCCGATATCCTTTTTATTTTTTGGATTTAATATGATTGTTGAATTTCTATTAATATATACATTAGACAATTATACTATCATGTATGCTCTTTATATACATATATTTTCAATCTATTCTCATCTTTATATAACTTATTCATATATATGTCCAATAACTATGAACATATATATGTAAATTGAGAAAATTAATTGAATGTGATATATCTAAGATGTATGGATACGTTGTATCAAATGGTTTATGATGAAAAAGAAATTATGAGTAGAAAAATAACATATTCAATGTTAGAAGAATATTTTAATGTACCACAGTATCAATCCGATCAACCCGTACGAGTTGGGTTAAAAAATTTCAAACCACAAGCATTAGATTGAATTGTTTAAATATTTTCAACCCGATCAATCCAACTCATGAACAGCCCTAATAATACATTTTATTTGTTAAAAACAAATATAAATTTTTTGATATAAAATATTATTTTAATATTATGTTTATAAGATTCCGAAGGTGAAGGTGAAGGTGAAGGTGAAGGTGAAGGTTATAAAAACCGACATTCACTGCTCTTCCACACTCTCTCATGTCATCCAACCAAAAGGAATCCCACATCAAGCCTCAACTGTTGTGTATTTTCAACTCCTTCCATTATCAATCTCCATTCCAAAAGAATATCAGAATCAAAACCCAAAAACCCTCTTTATAATCCTGCTTTTTTTTTCCATAATTCCTCATCTTTCTTCCACCGCTTTCTGGGTTCCCGGCGGCTGTGATGGGTGTGAGCACCAGGTGTTCCCATACTTCCCATATCACCGAGATCATCATCACCAGCTTCTTCCGCCACAAGATTTAAACAAAACCCTTGTTTCATAATTCCATAATATCTCAACTTTTTATTAAATCCAAAATTGAATTAAATCAGGGCCTGCTATCTGATTTTGATTTTGATTTTCAAACCCACAAATATTTATGGTTGATTAAGTGTTGATTTCCGAGTTTTTAGTGGGTGTTGCCATGGCGGCTCGAAGCTTTCTTTATGGTGGTGGCGATGCCGGCGGTGGTGGTGGTGGTGGTGGTGGTGGCGGCTCTGTTCTGCTGACGAATAAAAGGGTTCATTGTTCTTCTTCTCTTAACACTGTTGATTCCTTCCTCCTCCCACGATCGTCTTCTTTCCAAGGTAAGCATGTTGACTTTTGTTTATAAGACACCCATAAATTGTGTCTTAATTTTCAAGATTTATGTTCTTGATTTTCGTCTGTTGATTTGGAGAAAGATTCATGTTCTTCTAACGACGATAAATCAACAAAACCTTGTTATATCATTATGGATTTTTAGACATGGGTATGATTACAAGAAACAGAAATCTTGAATCTTGGTGGTTGACTTTCTTGATCAATACTCAATTTGACCATAAAACTTTGTTCATCTTTTCTGTTTTTGACAGCAATGCATACCCTTTTTCTTGATTTAGATCAAAATGGGGTTTAGTTACAAACAATCTTTTTCGAAAATCTTAGCATGTTTCTTTAGATTATTCAAGAAAACAATGTCCTCTTTTTCAGGTTCTAGATCAATGGTTAGCTTTGAAGATAGAGGGAATGGATCTGGGGCCCAATTTTTTCAGTCATTTGATCACGAAGACAACGGAGATGACGAATACGATGAATACTTTCACCAGCCGGAGAAGAAAAGGCGGCTCACAGCTGATCAAGTTCGGTTCTTGGAGAAGAGTTTCGAGTCAGATAACAAGCTCGAGCCAGAAAGAAAGATGAAGCTAGCCAAAGATCTCGGCTTGCAGCCTAGACAGGTTGCGATCTGGTTCCAAAATCGGCGTGCACGTTGGAAGACTAAACAGCTAGAGAAAGACTACGACGGTTTGCAGGAAAGCTACAACAAACTCAAAGCTAATTACGACGATCTTGTTAAAGAGAAGGAAAAACTAAAATCCGAGGTAAGAAAAACGTTAATCACTTGCTTTTCTAATCCTTAAAAATTTGCTAAAATTCATGTATTAAAATTAGGTTCAAGAACTAAGTGATAAGCTGCAACTACAAGAAAAGGGAACCTCGGATTCATCTAGTACTAAAAGCCCGTCTGAGCCACAACGATGCCGACAGATTCTCGATGAAGATGTGTCTAAAAACATGAAGACAAACGGAGATCATTTGAGTGCGAAAAGAATCGGATTTGAAGACGGGGTCCACACGATATCGTTGTTAGAGCGAGGGGATTCATCGTATGTATTTGAACAAGACCAAAGTGATGGATCCGTGGATGAAGTAGAAAACTTCAGCAAGATTTTTCTACCTTCCGTGGATGAATTAAAGATGGAGAACTCGGAGTACCAGGACCCACGATCAGGGAATTCATACTATCTTGGGCTACCTGGAGATGATCAAGCCTTTGGATTTTGGTCTTACTGAGTCAACTCAGTGGTGCATAACTCTGTTAAGTGCTCTTGAGGTTCCAGCAATTCTGGAAGGGAATATATCCAACTTCTTGATAGTGTTGGTTTTGTGTTTTACAAGTCGTTATTTCATTTTAATGTTTATGTTGTCTGTTAATGTTGTCACCTTATAAATAAGTCACAATGATTGTGTTCTTATTGTAACTAAATTGCTTCATAATATTACTTGTAAACTATGTTGGATTGGTCATGAATGTTGAGGAATTATGTAACGAATACATATATATATATATATATGGTTACGAATTATTTCACTTTAAGTTGAGGTGACGTTTAAGAGTCGATTCATTAATTAATAGGGTTGAAATCATAGACGGATACAAAGAATGGTTTTAACTATTAACATTGCTAGTGTGTGGCATCGCGCACGCGATGACAAAAATGTGTTAGAAAATAAATATGTAATTACTTTGAGATGAAGCGTAACTTGTTAATTCATCGACAACTAACAAAATACGGTGAAAAACATTGGATGTACCTGTAAAAGGTAATTGATGCAACATGCAATAAATGAACGAAAGTTGATTCCATTGATCTTACGAACACTTTCTCATAGTGTGTTCCTCGTTTCAAGCTTCGAATCGATATATTATGAACCTAAAATAGAGTATCACACAAATGTTATGTGCATTTAAGCGCAGACACCCTTTGTTAGACTGGTCATGGGCCTCCCTAAAGAATAGAGCATGGTCCTCCACACCATGGCCCGCATCAGTAATGCTCCGGTGTTGAAATTAAAGTTGTACAAAAATCGTATGTTGCAAAGGTTAATGTACGTAGTATTAAGAATTATACTAGTAGAACACAAAAATAATCATTCTAATATAAGTTAATGATTGTTTTGCAACCTATTTATTAAACCGGTTTTCAAATGGGTTGCACATAAAAGAAAACTATAATAAACCATCGTATGAAGTTAGTTAATTGATCATAGAAAAAAATAATTGCATAAATTAAAAACATTATATTATAAGAATTCTTTTTATTATATATTCATACTCATATAGCCACCTCCGTGAAAAAAATGGGCATTCAAAATTAAATAAAATATGTTATATAGCTAATAGTATCGATTTCTCTTGGTTGACAAGTTTTTTAGCAAAAACAGGGAACTCTTTTGATTCAAGTACCATTTATATTGTTTTCTTGAATAAGGTTCAACTATGCAGGTAAATGCAATTTTCAAGTTTTGTGAACTTTTTTTATTCTTACAAATGCATTAATCTTGAACTGGAAAAGTCAAACGGGGTTGGGTACCCGGTTCTAATTGTCAAAAAAATGTGAATTCATTTTTCATGTACTATTTTATACAACTTTTTCTAAAAAATTATCTGTGGTAATCCTTTATTTTTTCGAAATCATAAACAACATTGGTTAGTTAAGTATCAATATATTCCTTTAATTTGTGTGTTATTATCCGTTCAGACATGAATCTCAATATAATTTGATACTTTTAAGCTTTCACGTTCTTGTTCATAAACATTATTTGCTTATAATAATTAAATTAACATTAGAGACGATTTTTAGACATATTATAAATGATATTACTAAAATTACATTCATGATTAGTATTGATTATGTTATAATTGTTAGAAATATAGTTGGAAGGAATAAATATACTTGTTCGTTCATAAACTCCCTTTATCCCAAATTTGTTTTTCAAGTTTGTAAAATCTCTTTACATTTGTCCCACCAACTAACAACCAACTTTTTTTGTTAACTCAAAATAAATAGAGGACATTTAAATTATTATATCATTAATGTTTTTTTAGTTATTTTTTGTCGAATGTTCGTCTTCTCATAAATAACTCATCAAGAATATTTGAGTGAAATTCAAGAACATAAATAGCAAACTTAATCAAAAAAATTATAATATAATGCTTATATAAACTCTAAAAAGAGCGGGATTCAAAACAAAATTGAACATAGGAATCCTCTTTCTGCTCATGAAAATGTCAACCCCTTTAAGAGTTTAAGGAAAAGAAAGATAAACAAATTTATATAGATGACGGGTATCATGGACCACCTTTTTTTTTTTTGAAATGTTAATAATATGAACTAAAGATGCCAAAAAGAGTTAGAGGCTATTAGGGAACCATATCCTTTCAAGTTTTTGAAAGCAGTTTAAACTATTTATCTTCTATTTGTATAATCAAAGATTTGGGGTAGTCTTCTTCATGACATATCTTCATGATTCAATGTTGATGTCATTAATATGTAGTGCTTGTGGAAACTTTGATAACTTACATTCGAATAAGAGATTGCTAGAGGTTTGTAAGAATATAACGCTAACACTTTCAACTAATCTAGCAAACGATGTTTACACAAAAATTATTTTCTTACCGAATTTTGAAATTATTGGTATGCATAGGAAAACTAAAATAGTTCTTGCATTTTTGAAACATGATCCAATAGAAAGTTGGTGTCGAAGTAGATCCACTTAGTATACTTAACATACAATCAAAAAAATGATAGACCATTCAAGAAGCACCGGTTTCATCGGAGATTGTTTGGCCTCACGTAATAATAGTGATGGAGACTTTCATTGGAGGTACCGACTTAACCTATATTGCAAGATGTATGTAAATTTTTACATATAAGAGAGGAGAAAGCCACAATTTAATGAAGAGGAAGCTAAAAAGGTTGTCGGCATATGGAAAGTTGGGGGGGTTATGTTAAAGTGTAAGATATATTTAAGAGAAAGAAAATTAGAGAGTTTACCAAGAAATATTGAGAGTTAGGTGGTTCAGATGCATGTAAATTTACTAAAAAATGCTTGTGCATAATGAAGCACACATTTATTATATAGGAACGACATAGTCTTTTTCTTATATTAGGCATATTTTAAAAATCAAAAACTTAGAAAAAGGCGAAATAAGGATTCTAACATTAAGAGTTGCCATGTAAACACCATTGGGTTTTCCTTTAATATATATAGAGAGATAGATTGATTGCACCCACATTTAGAAGGATCAAAACAAAAATGAGAACTATATAAGATCAAAGCAAAAAGATGCATCAAAACATAAGACAAAAGTCAATAATTACACAAACTTAATAACAAAGATAATACATCAAGTTTTATTGGACTTTAAACTAATTAAATGCCAAGAGAAAATTGAAAGAACCCTTTTGAAAAGATTCAATTAAACCCTAAGATAGAAAACAATCATATCATATCATTTTGAGAAAAAAGAAATCAACATATTTGCAATTTCTTGATATCAGAGAACTTTTGAGGCACTATATCACCAATTGCTGTCGATACTCCGATCATCAAAGCTTCAATATGCAAAATCTTCAATTAATAATCCTAACAAAAAAACATCCAACTCATAGTTGATTAAAAAAAATAACAAATATCAATTCATGATGCACCTTAAAACACAAAATCAATAAGAAAAACTTTTCACGGTTCATAAAATGGAACAAACTTAGTTCATGATTCACCATAAGAAAAAACTCCAATTTATAATTTATCAAACAAATAACCCAATTCTTGGAATCTGAAAAAAAATATATATACAAATTTTGTAGTAGACAATACATTTGTTGAAGTTATGACAGGTAAGGGTAAAGGTCTTTCATTGCAACCTGAAACTTGTTTTCAAGTAGGAATTCAACTTGATCATAGCAATATATAACATATGTGTATATATAACATTATCAGTCTAGGTAAAATTTCACTGTACTAATCTTTCGCTATGAAGTAGTCCTGGTTGAACTTGGGTGTGTATGAATGTTTTCAAGAACATAATCGATTGTTTCTTGATAGCAATTATGTCAAAACTAAATGGAGAGAAAGATATTGAGAAATAAAAGGATGAAGAGATGGAGAGATGAGGAGTTGGAGAAAGTAAATCAATTGCAACAAACACACTACAACAAAATAGGGTTTATAGGACACTCTCAATTTCTAAGCATCCTAATAGACCTCTTTGTAAGACTTAGTTTATATGACTAAAAAAATAAAGCGTCTTATCTAAAGGTGTTGTAATAAGTTTATATGATGTTTTTTGACGTCGTAATAAGTTATTTAAGATACTTTTAATATAAAGTGTCTCATTAACAACTTTATAGGACACTATTTGAAAAATTGTCCTATAAAAACATATGTCCTATAAAAAATTGAGTTTATAGGACACTTTGTTGCTAATGCAACACTATGTATAAAAAATGTCCTAAAAAACTTGTTAAGACGCCCAAAAGCGTCATATAAACTTATTACAACACATTTAGATAGGACGTTTTGTATTTTGGTCCTATAAATTAAGTCCTACAAAGCGGTCTATTGGGACGCTTAGAGATTGGGGTGTCCTATAAACATTTGTTGTTGTGACAATAAGGGGAATGTCTATCAAGAAATTGAATAGTTGGGAGGTTAAACGTAAGTTGGATATAAAATGACCAAAAAATCTCATTTATTATGAAACATACAATTTGTCTATAGAGGCATAAAAGTCTTTAACTTAATTAGTCTTTTAAACACTAAAAAAAAAGGATAAAAGAGCTCATAGCCTTTAGAAGAAGTTATGTCATACATATTGGTTCCTCCTTTAATATCTATACACCTAATAAATAAGTAACTTTGAGGACACATGTCATGTTTCTATGTGGCGGTTATTGATTTTTCCCGCCTAAACATGTATCTAGACACAAATTTCACTTACGGTTCAAATAGGTCTATTTAAGTGACATATGTCCCTCTACACGTTTATTTTCATGTTTTTGTGGTTAACTGAATTTAAGTCTGAATTTAACTCTAAAGTGGCCTCCAGACTTACAACATAACTCTGGGAAAATTCAGAGTTGTAAGTCTGAATTTAACTCTAAATTTAAGTCTGAATTTAACTCTGAAGTGGCCTCCAGACTTACAACATAACTCTGGGAAAATTCGGAGTTGTAAGTCTGAATTTAACTCTAAATTTAAGTCTTAATTTAATTCTG